TGCAGATATAAACACTTTAAGTGTTTTAAAGTGTGGACAAGCTATAAACTCTTTAAATGTGTATCACAAAACGGTAAAAATGTTTTATTGTAAAACAGCAAAGTTGTAAAATAACTCATTTACGATTTTAAGAAAAACACTCAATGTGTTCAAATATAAATCACGTAAAAGTGATTCTAAAGTGGGGACAAAATGTGTCATATTTCAAAACAACTGGATTCACAGTGAATATACTACAACTACTGTTTTGTTCACAATTGCGGTGGACAATTTACTATTTATTTATCGGACGTGACGTGATTGGCTGACCAAAGTCAGCGGGGAAATTATTGAAATTTTGTTATATATACGTTAGTTCGATAGTTAAAGTAATACAAAATAAGAAGTACGTAATAGAAAAATAATTGAGGTATAGATGCAGGTTTGTGGGCACTTTGCAGTGATTTTTTTTTTATCTTTTTTATTATTCAAACAGTTTTGGCTATAGACTGTTCAAATTTTGTAGAATTTTTAATAGTCGAACATATTCAAAAGACGATTTTAAAATATAGATAACGGGTGCAAACATTCTCTTTTTTGAATGCTTAGCAAGATTGAGCAAGGCTGTACATAAATATTAAAAAAAACACGGTGAAAAAAGTAATGACGGGATATCCATATTATGCACAATATTTAACCTTTTACATAAGGATAATACATTTAAATTTGGAACTGTTACAGCCATTTTAATTATGAGCATTAGCAAACTTCTTACTGAGTGAATTGTTATGTAAATTAGCAATTATATCAGCTTTTTTAGTGCCCATCCCAGAACTTTTCAAAAACAATAGCTCCTAGACGCTTTGACCTATTGTTTTGAAATTTTCACAAATGATTGGCAATGTGTTTATCTTCAAAACGCCGTCGGGGCATTGTTTTTGGTTGAACAGTGTAACAACAATCGTACAGACAACTAGCCTGAGTGTTAATTTATGCATAAGCTTGAAGTAGTGAAATTTGAGCTGCTGCCTTGCAAAATTGACAACCGGTAGACAGTTTTCAAGACGGCAATTTCTTCATAGTATATTAGATGTACCCGTAAACCAATTTTGACAGGAAGCAGAAGCATAGTTTAGAAGCTATTTTTTAAAATTACTTGTGACCGAAAAAGCACATTTTTGTGCATATCTCAAACTATAGTGTCCATAAAAAATACTAACACAATTTTAAAATTCATACAATAAGGTTTCTGAAAATATATAGTTTTGTGGACAAGAAAGGTCATCTAATTAAAATACCTGTCAGGTAAACTGCATCTCTACCTTAAATTCACCCCGTACAAATATTTCAGTATTAACCTTATTATTTCGGCACTATTCACAGAAAATACAGAAGGGCACAACTAAGTGGAACACCGATGCTAATACAGATTAAAGGTATTATTTACTGTACGTTTTTAATTCACTCAAAACAGGTTCCATTAATGTTGTAGTTGTATCTAATAGACTAGGCAATAACTTTTGCGTTGAACACGAGGTTTATGTTTTGAACAAAATCAACGTAATACGCATTCGTCTATTTCTTTCAGATGCACAGACATTACCACCAGTCCTGCAGTCATGTGCTGCAGATTTACCTGTACCGTTGAGCGATGGATATTGGAAAGACAGATCTGTATTTGTGTCTTTCGTATGTAAAAGTCAACAGTGGACAAAACAACAAATATCAACGTGTCTAGCTGATAAAAAACTCATCCTTTGTGGCGATTCTACACTAATGCAAATAGAACATTCACTAACACCAATTCGTGGAATAGACATTGTCTCTCACTTCGTGTACCCAAGAGTTGGAAATGTTGTCGTTCGATTTAAAAACGGTGTTTTAGAGAGTGATTTATTGGATAGGATTGTTCAACCAAATTGTTCTTCATCAAACTTTGTAATCGTTTTAAATTTTGCATTTCATTATGGTGCTTTCACTAACAGGGCGTACTTAGAAAGAATATATCATGCTAGATTGGCTGTTCAGCGTCTAATGTTAAGGTGTCCCACTTCAAAAATTGTAATCAAGCTATTGCATCCACGTGATAACATATTTATAGAACAAAGTATACACAGTGCCAACTGGGTTTTCTATGACATGAACAGAATAATACGTCGGGTGTTTGGGGGTATTGGTGTGCATTTTCTAGATATATGGGATATGGTTTTATCGTCGTTTGAGAACAAAACTGTTCACATGCCTCCAACCGTCATAGTTCAAGAGGTACATCTCATGCTATCCTACATTTGCCCTGAGATGGTGACATAGAAATGATTACTTCATCAAATACAATGTATATTACGTGAGGGGAATGACTAGTAAAAAGAATTTAAATGTTAATTTATTATTAACTAATTGTTATTGTAACGTATTTGTTTTATATATTTTTTTTAATTTTGCATTTAAAACAAAACAGTATGTGATAGTGGGTGTATATGTTTCTGAGATTGAATACAGGAGCTGGACATATTTATGGTTTTATTTGTTTATCGCTTTGCCCTTTTTGTTATTGTAGATATCATTTTTGCTTCTTACCTTTACATTTGCTTTGCTTCACAATCAGCATTTAACAAATTTAATAAATACTACAAAGAGCAAAGGGGGACTAAGATCATATAATTTTGATATAACTTAACTGTAGCTGTTGTATTTGCTAGAATTCACGACTTATATATGTAAACATTTATGGTTGTTATGGACACTGGTGACCGAAAGATTAAATGTGTGAGTAAAATTATATATAGCAACAAATATAAAACGGTTGATTGTCTCCAACATCCAGAACACTGGCATGACTATCCCTGTTATATCCCACAATTCAATTCGGATATCTTACACAATATGATCCATTATTTTATTATTAGCATTTTATACATATAGCTAATATTTATAAAGTGTGTTACCGTGGCTGTAGGCTTGGGGGATTATTAAGGTTTAGCATATTACGTAAAGTTTATTTGGAAAAAAGGTGTTTACATGTTGAACCTATACTCAAGTAGTGCATAACGCCGGGGTGCAGCCAGTATCAATGTTCTAATCCAAATGGGAACGCTATGTGGCGAAGACATAGTGCAGTGGGGTATTTTTTGTTTTGTTTTTTTGACACGGGAAAACCGAAAAGTCACTCACTCATCTATTTCCTGGATTTCAAAAATGCGCCGCACGTTAGTTCGGGAAACACTTGCTTTGGCCGATGATATTGGTTCCCCAATGTTCAGGTAATGTTCAACTGACAGGTAGTGATGAGTCACAAGTTACCACTTGTATCCACCAAACCAATCAGTGAAAAACGACTAAGAGAATTATATAACTGTTTTTACTACACCTGCCATTTTGGTATGATTTTGGAAAAACATTGTAGAACATTAGCAGTGTTTATAGTAAACGGCGTATTTGCAAATAGCTGAGATCACTACAAAACTGGGGGTATTTGCTTCACTTCAGCTTATAACTTAGGTTGATATCGTTCTTAACGCGTCCTTGGATGGATCATTGTAGTTAAATGCTACCCACTTAGCAACGAATTATTCAACTCAGCACATTTGAGGGGCTAAAATGGGTGTTACTTAGATAGACACTGGCCTTGCAAATATTTTGGCCTGGGTCGGCTCAAGTGGGGCAGGTACCTTGCAACAAAGTATCAAAGCACTACGATGATATTTTATGACACAATATATCATGCATCTAAATTGTCAGCTTTCGATGATATGACTATTGCATATCTAGGGTTTAAAACAGAAGTCCTTTTGTCGAAAGCTGATTGAATAAAAAAAATGATTTTACATATTCACAGTGGACCAAGCAAAATCAGTGTTTCGCCTTATACTGTAACATATGTACACAATAGGAATTATACATGATAAACAGTCCTTATTGAAACTCTATCAAGCACGTATGTTAATACATGGTATCATGAATGTGCAACGGCTGACGCTTCGATATTACTATGTATCTATACAATCCGTCAAATCAAACAATACTTTTTCGAGCTTATGTGCGTGCGTTCATCAACGAAAAGACTTTAACGTGCATTTTACTAGGGGAAGCATCACATCACTTAAACTCATAATACGTTTTCTTAACATCTGCGCCAGCCAATACCATTTATTCGGCTGAAGCCTCAACATTAACTCTTGGCAGATTTCACTACGATTTATTGTATGTCGCACACCCTCAAACGATTATAAGATTTGCTTCGGCTCATTTACATTGCCCAATCAGAACTCATGATATAAACTACAGATTACCATAAAATACTTTATTTTCGCTTGCAATCAGTTTTTGCTATAGGAATGATTCAGTGAAAATAAAATCCAGCGAATATGCATTTTTCCTATATTTAACATTCAACTCGTCAGAAATCAGTGGAAAATAAATTCCATAGAAAACACCCAAAACACCTTTTAGCGAATATTAATTCCAGCTAAAATAAAGTATTTTACAGTACTTGGTAAAATTTAAATCTTGCAATATAGAAATCAACGTGTTGCTAGCTTTTTGCTATGTGAATTACCTTACTGGCCATCAAAAGAAAGCGCTTTGTGCTGTATCTGAGGGAAATGATGTGTTTGTTGTAACGAAAGTGGATGGGGCAAGTCGATATGTTGCCAGTTTCGACAGTTTTGTCAGTTTATTAAATTAATTTTCAACGTTGGAATATATTTCTTTCGAAACGTGTCAACGAATTTAGACCTTGTGTTCTTCACTACACACCACCATTGCTTTTATCTGTGATGACCCCAGACGTTCACATTTATGATACAGCAAGGCTGATTGGTGGAGCCAATTTAACAGCAGTGAAATACAGCTTTTCCTAACACGATCACTCACGGGTTCGTGGGCCGTTTATGAATGACCGGCTTTAGCGAAACCGTACGATTCGGACGATGTTTTTTTAACGCAAAACTGGGTTACATAGTCACATTTTCAAACGTAAATTGTTTGTTTGATTATTCTCATCCCAAATAATATTTAGAATGAATTCATAAACAATGTCAGTATGTTTTATTGTAGCCTCGATTAACAAATTATTGTTTTTGTGTTTTCACTAATGTTATCATATGTATGCGATGCTATTCATGACCTACTAACAGCTCGCCATGTTTTTAACGTATTTTAATCGATCGTATTTATGTTGATTCGAGCAGCAGGCTGTAAATATAGCTTTGCGTTATTAACAGTGTCACCACTGATCTCACTCCCTGATCTCACTTCTTCTTGTAGCCATTTTTTATATTCTATTATTTGTTTACAGCATGTTCCCAGACGGAGCTCAATTGTACACTATACGGGTAATTATAGGGAGCAATCAAATCAGTTGTGTTATTGGCGGCTCATATTTATCTATTTACTCCATTAAATTCAATAATCTGGGCATGACTGTGCTTTAATTTCGCACACATTCGTATTGGATGAGCTTGTGAAGTACTGTCGGGATATTTGAGGAGGGATTAAGAGCGTCTATTTCCATTGAGTTAGACTTTGATTATTATAAACCAGTGATACGATGCTAAGTAATTATTTAGTTAGTAAGAAAAACGTAAATACGGTGATATACACTGTCCGTTTTAGAATGACGAGAATATCCCTAAGATCATGTGAATCAATAAATTGTGTTGTCTACATAGTTGTCAGCTGATAAAAACCGCAACTTTGGAAAATGACATCTACGAAATGGTTTTGCATTTGTCTTGAAATGTGTCCTAAACAAAATAAAATAGTGTTTGTTTCTTTTGAATGGACGTATCTCAAACTTATAGCATTGCGAACTTGCCAGCGCAGTATACACTTAGTATACAATCTATTTATAAAATCCATGTATTAAATGTCATAATATCTACCTTAAACATACAAGTTGTTGATCAACCAGTTAAATGCAAGGCATATGCAAACCCCTTCGTAACTCAGAAGTTAGTCATTTAGGAGGTGGAATATATGTTAAAGATGGCATCATATAACGGTCAGATTCACCCTATGCTGCTCTCATTGTCTTGATTAAGAAAAAAAGATGGAAAGGTCCGTTTTTGTACAGACTTTCGTCGTCTTAATCAAATACCGTCTTTGATGCCGAACCAATACCTAACCCTGAAGAGTTATTCTTCAATCTTGCTGAGGGACGATACTTGACGAAACTTGACTTGACCAAAGGCTTTTGGCAAATACCCTTGACCCCTGGGTCAAAACCTGAAACTGCTTTTCTGACTCCACTTGGGTTGTTCCAGTATAGAGTCATGCCCATAGTCCTAGTACGTTCTCGAAAATAATGAGGGTGATTCTTGGGGGAATGCATGGGAGGGTTGTTAATCTGGTAGACGATATTTTGATATACAATAAACAATGGGACGATCATGTGTGTACCCTTGTTGAGGTTCTACAGCGTCTCCAAGAGACCGGTTTAACAGTCAAACTATCAAAATGTTATATTGGGTTTTTCTCAACTTGAATTTGTCGGCCACATCGTCGGACACTTTGAGTTTCTGACCATACCCAGTAAAATCAATGCCTTACAAAATACACGAAGAACAGAAACAGTTACCCAAGTGAGGGCCCTGCTAGGGTATGCAGGATATTATCGCAAATTAGTACCCAATTTCACAGCTAATGCCGTTCCTTTGTACGATTTAACCAGAAAAAGTCTGCCGAAAAAAGTAATTTGGAATAAGGTTCATCAGCTTGCCTTTGACAACGGAAACATGCTCTTAGCAATCCCCTAATCCTTAAACTGCCAGACTTTAATCGTACATTTGTTATGAGAACCGATGCTGCTGAAGTGGGGCTAGGGGCAGTGTTGCTTCAATATTTCGATGAAGTAGCCATTCTTGTGGCATTTGCAAGTCAAAAACTTACTAAAGCAGAGGTAAATTATGCAGTAATAGAGAAGGAATGTCTTTCGTTAATATGGGGTCTGAGAAAATTTCAACAGTATCTCCACACTGCTAGTTTCTGGATCGAAACCAATCACAAACCTCTGGTATATATGAGTGCAAAATTTACTAATAGCAGGGTTATGAGATGAGCGTTGTATCTGCAATCATTTTCATATCGAATTATAACAATTATAGGTAGTCACAACATAGGGGCGGATTACCTTAGCAGGAGTTCGGACAAATGTGTGTTGGGTTAAATTAAATATCAATTGCATTAGAATAGAACTTGTGAGTGTTGGCATAATCATGGTCTCTGATTACGACTTGGCATAGGGGGGTGTTTGTTACGGTATATACGTTGGGTTAAATTTAGTGCTTGGAGAAAAGGTACTATATTATAAT